TCTATGATTCTATGATCTTTCAGGGAGGATGGTGCCTCCAGATGAGTGTGACCAGAGTTGCCCTGCCCTTTCCCTGGAGTGCAGACTTCCATTATCTGTTTCCTTGGAAGGTGAAAGCCAAATGTGTCTCATTCGTGAAGTGTGGCTTCTGTACTCTAAAAGAAAGACCCTCTTAACCTCTAAATCTCTAAATGATGAACCAGTGTTCTACTATGGCTATATTTAAAGAGTGGGACCAATTGCCAAATCTAGGTACATGGACACATCTCGGGTCCACTCCAGGTCGACAGCCAGAAGACTTAGTGAGCCTGCACTGTGATTTCCAAAAAAAAACAGTCCAGGAAGGCAGGGCAGAAGACAGCCACAACCCTAAAATGGGTGATGGAGAAGGGTAGCTGTCCCTGCCTGCAGTGTGTCTGTAGGACAGGGTGCTGAGGCACCCTTGGTGCTTTTCTGTAAGGTTATGAAGAACAAGGATGTTATGGTGGGTTGACCCCAGACACCAGCTAAGCACCCACACAGCTGCTCGCTCACTCCACCCTCCACCCCCAAGTGGGCCAGGTGGAAGGAATAGGAAGAGCAAAAGTGAGAAAACTGGATCAAGAGAAAGGCAATTTAGTAAGCGAAGGAAAGAGAATAAAAACATGTGATGCAAAGGCCATCACTGACTGCCTCCCACAAGCAGACCAACGCCCAGCCAGTCTCCAGGTGATGGCTACCTGGTAAGACAACACCCCCCTCCCCAGTTGTTACTGCTGAGCGTGACATTGTATGGTATGGAGTATTGCTTTGGCCATTTGGCTGTCTCCCATCCCTGCGCCATGAAGAAAGTTAACTCCATCCCAGCCAGACCCAGTACAGATGTTTTCAGACTGTTGCCTGGGGTTTAATCTCCAGCTCTCATTTAACAGCTCTGTCTGTAATATCATACAACAAAGGGTGGTAGAGCTCTGTCTGGCACATCATCATTTCTAAACCGCAAGATCTGCCGTTGGAAATCCGTTTTAGACTTCAATTTTCCCTTGCAATGACTTAATTATTTCTCTTGTAATAAATAAATAAAATGTCCATTGAAATGTGAAGCTGGAAACTTTCTTCAGAGTTATCAATTAAATCACTTTATCAATGGAAATCACCTTTAAATGTCCATAGTTATTTGACTCTCCCTAAACAGCATTCAACTGACCTGCACAAACAAATTCTGGGCAACCATACTTTCTAAACTATGGTATTGCCTAATGATTCATGCATTTAATTTCTCAGTGTGTTTAGATTTAGTCTTCTTTGTTCTTGCTACCCCAGCCTCCAGACAGTTCAAAGAGGGTTGTCATAAGAGGGATGAAGAGTGCTGTGCCACGCACCAGCGAGAGGTGACGATCGCTCCTCTGCTGCCGCCCTGTGCCACTTCTCGGTCTGCTCTGCGTGCCGGGCATCGCTTCCCTATACCGTCCATCCATCTGAAGGGCTGACATCTCCCTGTCTCCTTCTGCAGGAGCTGTGCCATCCCTCAACTGGGCTGGTAGCTTTTGCTTTTATATGGGTGAGTGTTGGAAAAACATCAGTAGAGCTTGGTCTGAGTGTGGATGTGGATGGTGTTTATGGCTCTGACTGAGGGAAAACAACTCCAACCCAACTGCCTGTGTTTCTCTGAGAACAAGGGACCAAAATCTGATTCGCTGGGTCAGATTTAGAGGTTGGTCCAGCCCAGTTTTCTCTACCCGGTGGTCCATCACCTTGTGGTTGCTAACGTCTACAGATGTTGTTGGAGGGAACAATCCTGCCCAGTCCTTTCAGTATCTCTTTATGGACCTATTGCCCATAGCTTTGTGTAAAACCTCCTGCTGTTCCCATTTGCCTTCACCACCTCTTGTGGCAGGGTCTCTCCCCAGCGCACAAAGTATTTTTTTTAAGCTGTGTTAAACCCAGTATCGTTAAGTGACGTCTGGATCTGCTGGAAGATACATTGCTCCCAAGTAAGGTGATACAATTTGCACATAGATTTGCACTTATAAATGTCCTTCTCTGAATTAAATGTAATGAATTCTTGTCTTTTTCACTATGATCAAGGAGAACGGCAAGTGGTTAGGCATTTTCTTTTCATGATTTTATTTCTATTTAGGGAATGAAAGGAGTGTTGGCTCTTACTCGATTGATCAAAATCAACCTGCTATCCTCCCTCTGCCTCCTGGGTAGACTTGGACAGTTGTGTTAACGGGTGATGCGAACAGCGTGGCAATGTTACAAAGCTCGCCCTCTCAGTCATACCCTTTCCTGTAATGCAGCTGGGAAGAGAGAGAGGAGAAGTGGCTTGCACTGTGCCGTAACTGGTATGACAAGTAACACCCTACATCCTTTGTGCGTTGGTAAGAGAAAGTCGATCTTGGGATCTGCAGCTTGTGCCGGTGCCTCTGGGGCTCTCGCTTTGAGCAGAGTTTGGCCGCAGCGTCTCTGGGACCCCTCTGGGCAGGGGGAGATGCCGTTGGATCCCCCTTTGCCTCCTCATCTCCAGCCGAGCAAGCCCAGCTCCCCCAGCCTCTCCTGGCCTCCACCCCTGCACGGGACTCACTCCAGTTTGTTACGTAGGTCTTGTACTGGGTGGCCCCTAAAAGTCCCAGTGCCCAGCAGAGGCAATAGCCTCTCCCCTGGACCTGCTGCCTGCGCTCTGGCCAGTGCAGCCTCCATCACTGCCAGGGTGCGGTCCTGGTAATCTTACTGTCCCCTGCAATTCCCACCTCCTTCTCCTCAAGCTGATTTTTGTGTGGTGTGTTTCTTTTTACCCAGTCTACCCACCTGGTATTGTAGCATGTTTTTCTTTTTTTTCATCCCATGTGGAGGACTTCACATTTCTCTGCCTTGTGTATCTTGCCGAGATGAGAAACCTGTAGCTATTTACGAAAGGTGATGTGGGAGACAGTGTTGGCACAGCTGTCAGTCTGCTGGGGGGACCATGTGGTGAACACCGGAATTTACCATTTAAAATGGGAGCCCACAGTACTGTAGTGGAGTGTTTTTAAAGCCATTAAATGCTCAGTGATTTTCTCTTTGACATGCCTTGCCTTGCAGTCCTGCAACTACTGCAGAAAGCATCAAGTTGTCCTCGAGCTCCAGCAGCTAAGTGCACCATGGACTGGGGTTTAAAGGCATTTTCTAGTGACAGGAGCAGATTTATTAGACAAAAACAACAGAAAAAAAGATCGCGTGTGTGATGTTATATTTTAACACGCAGTTTCCAGTGGCCTGCAGAGCATTGCAAGGATTGCTGCCTTGCCTCTTACTGGGATTTCTGGAAGTCTGTTCCACCTCCCTGAAAATATCCCAGTTGAAAAGTGTTTCCTGAGCCACTGCGTGTGCGTTAACGCTTTAAGCGGTCATCTAGGCCACCAGACTAAGTCTGAGTCCTACTTGGGTTGTTTTCCTGCCCACGTTTCTCCTTTCGCTGCTGGAAATCACCCATTGCTAGCTTACAGTGAAAGCACAGGTTGTTCTTCCCTGTGTGCTGCTGTGTCTCCTGGGCTTTGGTCGGTGGGCACTGTTTCTCCCTGGACAACAAGCGAGCATCTAAATGGTCTGAAATCAAAACCTGGTAAGTGCGGATTTGGTTTGAGGCTCCCCTGCTTCTGATGGCACTGACACTGTGGATACGTTGTTCTACGTAAAGCCAGGATGTGGCTGGCTCTGGCTCTGATGTCTGTGGTCCGTGAGATGGTATCTGGGAAACGCATCTTTAATTTTCCATGTTCTAAGAATCCAGAAACACGGATGAACATCATAAGTATGATGGCATTGGAGCAAAGGCAGTAAGTGTCTGGGAAACAGCCAGTATAAAATACTGATAGTTAAATACTACATTTATGGATTACCTTAAAGGTAAGTATCATGGAGCCTTGAAAACATTATTCTTTGCTTTTTTCTTCTTGCAGAGTGAAATGGTCTCCTTCTGGGGATGTCTCAGTAAGGAGTATGATGTGGTGACAGAAGATGGCTGTATCCTTCAGCTAAACAGAATTCCTTACGGGAGAGGAAATGCTGGAAACCAAGGTAAAATTAATATCTGTGTTATACAGGAAACCCACAGCTTACGCTGTTGTCTTCTGACTGGGACACCAGGGCTTGTGCAAGAGGATTTTCAAGATTCCCCATGGCTTGGTATCCGTAGCCTCTGTTTTGATCAATAAATTTGTAGGGAAGGCTGATCCCTTGCAGTGATGTTTTCCCACCTTGAGTGGAGACCTGAGCATGGCTGATGCCCCATGCACCTGGCAGGCTGCAGTCCTGGCAATGAGAAGCAGCCCATCCATCCTACCCACTGGTGCCTCACACACACCTTGGATTTTCTCTGGGAGCTTGCCTTCTCATATGTGGTCCTGCAGCCATGTGGTAGATCAACAGACCAGTTTGATACTCCTTGAGGAGCTTCCAGGGGACCCTCTTGTCCTGTGAGGAGTGACTACTGGGAGGCTCTAGATCCATGAATAGGTGCATCTTATCCTGTCATGTCTCCAGGCACCTCCATGTTTGCCTACAGAGCTTCCTGGGCAGCCCAAGTTCTGCTAACGCTCCCAGCAAAGCCTCTCTGCCAAAAGCCTGCTGAGATGCAGAGCGTAGGTACTGCTCTGCTTGTGTCCCTGAAAATACCTGGTGGACAGTGTCCTTGGAGACAAAAGCAGATGCTGTGAGATGTCTCTGAAATAGTCGTATCGCATTATGTCTTATATGTATTTATGACAGTAATGAGGGACCTGCTGCAGGGTGTGGGAGATAAGGGTTCAATTCTCTTCTCTATCTCTGGGTGTTTGTCCTGGTTTCAGCTGGGATAGAATTAATTTTCTTCCTAGTAGCTGGTACAGTGCTGTAGTTTTTGGGTTTAGTATGTTGATGACACCCTGATGTTTCAGTTGTTGCTGAGCTGTGCTTACTCTAAGTTAAGGACTTTTCAGTTTCCCATGCGCTGCCAACAAGAAGATGCACAAGAAGCTGGGAGGCAGCATGGCCAGGACAGCTGACCCGTACTAGCCAAAGGGCTATTCCATACCGTGGAAAGTCATGGCCAGTATAGAAACTGGGGAGAGTTGGCCAGGAGGGGCCAATTGCTGATCGAGAATGGGATGAGCATCGGTCAGCAGGTGGTGAGCAATTGTATCGTGCATCACTTGTCTGTCTTGGGTTTTATTCCTCTCTCTCTCTTTGTTATCTCCCTTTTCGTTACTATTATCATTGTTGTTGTTATATTTTACTTTATTTCAATTACAAAACTGTTCTTATCTCAACCCATGGGTTTACCTTTTTGTGATTCTCCCCCTCATCCCACCATGTGGGGTGGGGAGTGAGCAAGCGGCTGCTTGGTTCTTGTGGCTGACTTGGGTTAAACCATGACAGTGTTCAAACCTTTCCCTCCCAGCCCTGAAAGCGTGGCTGAAGTAATGATAGGCTGGATGGAAAAACTTATTCCGGGTCCTGGTGAAATTTGTCACCCCCGCAAAGAACACACGGGCACATCTTAGTGGCACATGGCTAGAAGTGGGGAAGACCTTCCAGCATTGTACAGGGGTTGGAGAAAATAAGGAGCATGGGAAGACTTTGGGCTTTTTGATACTGTCCTTCAACACTAGGTGTTCATTTTCTTAATGATAGGTCATCTGCAGAGGACGTGGGAAGAGGTATTGGGGATAAAAGGCAAAGTGCTCTGAGATTATGATGCACCCAGTGCATTTGCTACATAGCAAACCTGTTCCACTGAAATCAAGGGGAACAGACCTACCTAACACTGACACAAACCTCCGTACACTTTGGCTGCCATAATTAACGAGGAAAAGAGTCCCTAAACTGTCTCAAATGAAGACAGACAGCATTAAAAAGAAAAAAAGAGTCATCATGATGCCTGTCTTCCAGGTCCAAGGTCCGCCACATTTCTGCAGCACGGTTTATTTGGAGAAGGCAGCATATGGGTTCCCAATCCAGCCAACAACATCCTAAGCTTCATTCTCATAGATGCTGGCTACGACGTTTGGATAGGCAACAGCAGAGGGAACACTTGGTCCAAGTGATATCTGGTCTTGTCTCCCAAATGGGAGGAAATCTGGGCCTTCAGGTAAATGAGTAGTTTGAGGATTTCAGGAACAACTGTATTTTTTCATCTTCAAAAGGTGATACTGCCCTAGCTCGGGGAGGAATGAACCAGGCTGAACTGAAGCACTTCTAGTTATTTTAGGTGAAAACCTCATGTGCTTACTCAAGGACACACTCAGTAGGATGAAGACGTTTGTGGGGTTGTCCTGCCCTCCCCGCTGGTTTTGTGGTTTGTTGGTGATGGTTGTTCAGATGTAGATGCTACACCTCTCGTTAAGATGACTACTCTTCCTTCTCCAGCTTTGATGAAATGGCTACATATGACCTCCTGGCAATTGTAAACTTTATTGAACAGAAAATGGGACAGAAGCAGTTATACCGGTCTTTCGCAAGGCACCACTATAGGTAAGTGAGTATTTTTGACTGATCTTGATGACAGTATAGGATGACTGTGTTATCTTTGGGATTCATAAAACAGTTAGTTAAACTGTATACATGAATGTCTTGAAAGAGTAAGCCCTTTTTTTTGGTTACAGAATAAGTTTAATCAACCTAACTTTTTAATTATACTCTATTCTTCTAAATGTATTCTTTTGTCTGAATAACTTCACTTAGCAGGAGAAGGAATTCCAGGTCACATATCATAAACTCATCCTGACCTGGTTGCTTGGCTACGGGGGGTTCTGGAAGAAGATAAGGAGGAAACTCTGTCAGCAGAAGCTGCAAACCGTCGAGATAAGGACAACAAATGGCCCATCAGGAGTTCGGAGGCGGAGAACCAAAGAGAAACAGCTGAGTCCCCAGACCACGAATTACCGTTGGACCAAGGGGCGCGTGGACAGCATGTGAAGAGAATGACCATTGGACCGAAAGGTGCGTGAAGGGCGCATGGAGAAGGGGTGCATAGATTATAAGGGTTTAAAAACCCGGGGTTTCTTTGTTTCGGGGTCCCTCTCCGGACGCACCCAGCTCGAGCTGTCATTCTGCGGTACCATCCAAATAAATCAATTAATTTTCTAAGGTCGGACGTCTGAGACTCTGCTGCGGGAAACCTAGGGCAAAGAGATCTCTTTAACAGTTTTCTTCTTTCTTTTTTTTTTTTTTTTTTTCAACTTTTATAGCCTTTTCCACTACGCCTCAGCTGGCTCGGAAAATCAGGATGTACCTTGCTTTAGCGCCTGTGGCCACAATTATGTTCGTTCAAAGTCCATTTAAAAAGCTTGCATTCTTTTCTGACTATGGTCTTAAGGTACGTTCATCCAGATTATATTCTGCATAGACAAAATGAATGTAGTTTTTCACAGAGATTGTGAAATTACCTACACAGCGTATTTCAAATCATTTACAGAGAGAGGAACTGCATGCTCTATCTGTGTTCATAATGAAAGGAATCAAACATCTCAGTCTGGAGTCTTCTGTCCTGTCCTGAATTTACTCCTCCAAATGTTCTGGCAGAATTAGAGCCAAAAGAGCTAGTGGTATGGGCAGATGTGCACACAGCAGGTGTCAAAACGTTGGCAAATAAAACCAGTGCGGAGACTGGGAATTGAGCCCTACCATTTAACGCAAGAGTACAGTGAATGTAAGGGGTCATGCACATAAAAGCCATGGAACAGAAGCATTTAACAGGGTACAAGGAAGGGTGCACTTGTGGGCGACCTCATACCCCAATATGGGGGTAAAATAGAAGATATGAAGTGGTGGTGCTTTGAGGAAAAGTGTGACCAATCTTCATATTTTTTATGAGTACATTTGCAATTTTACAGCAGATGTTTGGCACCAAAGACCTCCTACCGCACACTGCCTTGGGTAAGCTGGTCCTTCCCAAATTCTGCTTGAAGACCTGCAAGAGCATCTTGTCTATACTCTTTGGATTTTACTGGGAAAACGTAAATATGGTATGCACGAATAAATCTGCAGAGGGCCCTCGGTGTCCTTCTGAAGGACAGAGCCTTGGCTGCCCTGTTTTGTGGAGCCAGGTGAAACCTGTTGTGAAATACGCTCGTTTCCTTTCAGAGCCAAGTAGATGTGTACGCAGCGCGCTCCCCAACGGGGACTCCAGTCCAGAATGTTGCAGGTAAACCTTCCCAGCTACTTTCCTATGCAAAACAGAGTACAGAATATTTTAATGGTCCTTTGTGGTCAGTCTCTTGTGTTGGTTGCTGCAACACATAGGCGGTATCTTTGTTGGTTTTGTTTTCAGCCCTTCATAAAATGCTCGGCAGCTTCTCGAGCTGCCGGTACATCATCAAGTAGAGGGGACCCAAAGGAGTGGATCTGCAAAGAGAAACTTTGGGAGATGAGGACCCTGCATCCACAGCAGGCACAGTTCAGGAGTCTTAGTTCAGGAGTCTTATTTCAGATTTATTTCAGCCCAAGTGCTGTTAGCAGTCAGACTGCGGCAGAGTTTCTCCTGGACAGCATCCAATTAAGCTTATTACCGATTAATCTGATTATTTCTCCTTCTTCCCATTGTGGACATGGAGAATCACAGCCCCTCTGACACTGAAATTGTGCTATGCTGCCCTCAGTCTCTCTTGCCTACGTCAAATGTACCCGGCTGTTTGCACATTTCTTTGTAGATCAGGGATTCAAATGGCCTCGTCTTGATCTCTCCAGGACCCTCACCAGTTCACGCATCTTCTCTGGAGTGTGTGTCACAGGCTGTACGCAGAGCACAGCTCCTTCCTAGCGTGGCACTCCTGCTCAGAGACCCCAAAATAACTTTGTGGGTTTTGTAACAAGAACACACGCTCCATTTTCTGAAGTGCTGTTGCTCAGCAGTGGTAGTCCTCATTCTGCGTATGTCCACCGGTTTTTCTTTTCTATGTATAATTTTTTATAAGATTCTTTACTGGACTTCAGCTTATCTGATGAGTACTGAGTGACAAAGAGAAAAACTAGGGGCAATGAGCACAATTACAGCCCAGGGGAATCAGGTTGGAGATGGGGAATCCTTCTGCCCTCGGAGCAGGGAGCAGCCCTGGGACAGGTGCCCAGGGAGATGGGGGTCTCCATCCTGGGGAGGATTCAGGTCCTGATGGGGTCAAGCCATGACCACCCTGATCTTGTATTGCTGAGAGTTCTGCTCCAGTTAGACAAGAGATGTTCAGAGGCTGCTTCCAGCCAACACGTCTTCGATCATATCATTTCAGGCCAGTTCTTCAGTCTACAAGGAATATTTTGAGTTCCAATCCCATTTTCTAGAACATTTTAATTTCCTCCCATCCTGATGTTAACCACAAACCATGTAAACATAATCTCTGTTCATTTATCCAAATTAGTGACAGTAATTAATTATACTGGGTCTATAGAAGACGGGTGAGATATACACTTGAACAATCCTGCTGGTTCAATGATGAAAACCAACTTTTGAGTTTCTTCTTTTAAACTGATTGCACCCCCGCAAAACTATGATTTCACTTAGACCATTGCCTGTCTGAACTTGCTGCAGGGAGTTCAAAGCAGTGCACTGAGAGCTTGTGATGGGGGAGCATGTATGATGATGTTCGCTATAGACAGGCAAGCTGCTTCAAACGGCCAAGGTCGTGGTCTTCCCTTTCACTTACACTTTCTGTTCCCGTTCGTGCCTGGTGCCATTCCTCGGAATTTATTGTCCTCTCTTCACAAATTGAGCATGCAAGTAGCAAGCCAGCAGGACCTCGGCTTAGAACAATAGTATTTTCTATTCTAAACTCTATTTTACAAATACCTTCTAAACGGAATAAAGTATTAGATGCTTTCCATTTATCCAGCATTTATTTAAAATCCATAATCTGCCATAGAAAAGCAACAATAACGACTGTGTAACCAGTTACTATCTGAAACCTGTAAAACAGAAGTCTCCATGCCGGTAAATTGTTTAGCCATGACGGAAAGCAAGGTACCAAGCCCTTTTGCCAGCCAGACCTAAAGTCACAAGGCGAATGGTGAGCAGTTAACTCTGCATCCCTTGGGAGCTCAGGCAATTCTTGTTCTGTGACAAGGAGAGTACCAGGGACATAGAAAAAAAAGCATCTTTCTTCCTTAAACAAGAAAAATCAAATTGTTCAGAAAGTGGCAAGCTTCTTAACTGGAATAATTACACCGCAGGTAAGGAGATATGATGCTGACAAATCGCCTGATGGCAAGTCCTCATGGTGTTGAGCTAAAGCAACCCTCCAGATGTGTCTTATTTTAAAGAACTTGCTTCCAAACACTTTCCTGCTGTTACAAAGCTGAAAGAAAGGCTATTGCTTGCATGAAGTGTAACCACAAACCACGGCAGAGCAGGTTGGAAGGGATCTTTAGAGGACCCTTGCACCAGCATTAGGTCAGGGCAGCTAAAATATTGCCTGTTTATCAAAGTTGATCAAATTGTCTGTAGTATCAGAACCAGAATCTCTAACAGGGCAGAACTAATTTACTAATTAAATTAAATTTACTGATTTAATTTACTCATTAAATTGTAGCGCATAAGGTTATACCATATCTTTTGATGAAATTTGTCTTCGTTCTAGAAGAAAGCCTTTCCAGGTGTTTTTTTTTTCCTTAATTCACAAAGAATAGCAATTGCTCTTGCGCGGTGCATATTTTACTACATTGCAGCAATGTCTCTTCTTTGCGAAACCCTCGTTTTCTGTTTCTTCAGAAGGGTCTGCCGCTCTACGATGTGAAGGACGTCAAAGTGCCAATGGCCATCTGGAGTGGTGGAGGGGACTGCCTGGCTGATCCCCGGGACATTGCCCTCCTGCTCCCCCAGGTCAGGAACCACAGGGTGATTCCTCAGTGGAACCGCCTGGATTTCATCCTGGGGCTCGATGCAACCGAGGTTTTGTACCAGGAAATCATCGACATGATGAAGGGGCGGCGGTAAAGCTGCTGTTTTGATTTGATGCATTTTTTGCGGATGTCTCTTGTAAGATGAATGCTATCTTTAAAGGGTTTTGAAATTTATCACTATTTGGACCACATGAATGGAGTTGATTAAAATGTTCTGCTTTTAACTGGAGCAGTGACAGGGTTTTTTTTAAAGGAGACTTTATGTTATTCCTGTCTGCAACTTCATTTCCTTTCTTCTTCCTTTTCTCCTCTTTTTTCTTTTTTTTTTTCTGTTCTTTTTTCTTTTTTTTTTTCTTTTTTGTTCTGTTTTTTTCTTGTGTGTTTTTTTTTTTCTTGGTTTTTTTTTTTTTTTTTTTCTCTTCTTTTTCCTTCATGTTTATTTGCAAAGGACAGGAAACAGATGAGGAAACTGGGTTTTCAGATGTTTCATTAAGACTGATAACACAGTGATCTATTCTCTGAGACACAACGGATCCTGTGTAGCCTTTCTAACTACATGTTAGCTTTATAGTGCCTGCAATTCCCCTGAGACCTGGGGGTCTGGACCCCCTTGTAACTCGGTTCATTCCTGGCTTCATCAGAGGCACAAAATTCACTATTGCCGTCTCAGAGCTGGCACTGTTACCCCTGGACCTTTAAATCTACCGACGTGGATCAGAAAGAGATCTAACACATCTGTGGTGAAAAACCACAGCAGAAATACACCTCCTTAGAGGCAATACAGCACCGGTGGTTTTGAAATTGAATAAAAATTGTAATTAATCACATTTTTAATGTGGGTGGGGTTTTTTTCTTTCAGCAACTAAGAAGCCAAAAAGGAAGAATCAGGAAAGAAATAAATCCTGAAAAGTAATTACAAGAAAGACCGTCCAGCATATGATTCTGATACGCAATGTTCAAAATCCAAATAAAAAAGGGGCTTAGGGAATGTATAAAGTACCTACGTCTTAGGATTTAACTGAGATGTTTTGGTAATAAGATTGAGTCATTCATTTCGCGTTGCGTATTTTCTGACTAAAGTGTTTTCTTCAATTCCGCTATGTATACACGTGACAAAGCAGTGCTGCAAAAACCATCCCTAGTAGTGCATCATTTGTGCAGCAGACCAGGCATGCAGGTAGTTGCCAACCACAGAGGGTTCAGTCTATGTTTGGTTGAATATTATCATCAATATCAGTACTTCACAAAGAAAGAAGAGGAAGTCTGGCTACTTTAAGAAATAAGACTTCTACATATTCGTGCCTTTACAGGTTTGGGACAAATTGTGTTAAATATTGCCAAGTTCTGAGCATTTGCTCTGAAAAAAACTACAGCATCATTTCTTCGCATGGGCAAGCATGTGAGAAGACGTTTCTTCATCCCAGGCTCCCTACATACATGGAAAATAGAGGCCGAACTGTCATACCTGGGTTCACATGAAACAAAGTTTGCAAATCCTCTCTAAAATCCAACTCAGTACATTGACCTTTAGTTAGAAACAGAAGAAGAGCTGGCTTGAATTTCAATGTTAAACACTGTGACAACTATTTTTCCCATTTTTAGCAATATTTTAGAGTAATAGAGGCATGTGGACGAAAAGAAAACAGGTCAGGGAGTTACTCCTTGTCTTAAACAGGCCCGTCTGCTTTCTGCTACGAGAAAGAAGCCTGCTCATCCCATGCAGCATCCCACTGGGATGCTCTCTAGCTGCTGGTATCACGTTGACTGGCTGTTGTTTAAAAATAGCTATTTTTCTTGTGCTGTGATATAGGAAATGTTTTTAAATCTTCAGTGCAGAAAGACATCATCCTTCAACCTAGCTGATTGCCCCCGATACGGTGAATTGCGGGTCTTTGCATGCGTTTCCCCTGAACAAGCGAGAGAAGAGAGTCTGTCATGGTGTGGAAATCTCCTTGAGGAAGGTTGTAGTTCCCTTTTAGGGGGACTTGAAAATTTCTTTAATTTCTTTCTGACTTTTGTTCCAGCCAGTCCCTTTAGGAATGGATATAAGCTGTATTATTTTTGGTTGCACTTGAAGATCTGGCCATTTCATTTACCCTGAGTGGTTGGGAGGTCTCACTACTTTCTTCAGTTCAACATGCATCCATAGACCAACCTAGTGGGTGGGAATCCAAGTGGGAAGCCCCATGTGCTGCTCCGTGCTCGTTTACAGATAAGTGGTGATCTCAGAGATGCCATGATGTGTTGACGACTGTTTCTTTAGCCCGTTGTAAAATGATTAAAGAACAGTTGTTTTGTAACAACATCCTTGTTTCTGCCAGCCAAAATTCTGAGGCTTATTAGAAAAACTTGATAAACATTTTAACAATGTGACCATCAGAGGAACTGGCTTGTGTCAGGAACTAAGAATGTAGTTGTGAGGTGAAGCAACATTTCAAGGAGAAATTACTCAAAGTTGTGCACTGCCAGTCATGTACTGGCATGTACTGGCAGTCGTGCACTGCCAAATTTTCCTGTCATGCTTCCTTTAAAATTTCCTGGAAGATGTGCATCACCTAGAAGTATCCATGAAAGGCAGAGTAGATTAATAAGAGGTGGGGGGAACGCAGAAAATTATTTTGGGTGAACAATCCTTTCAAATGCTGTTGTGGGTTATTTTTAACAACAGAAATCGTCACTACAATTTGCTTGGTAGAAGTGAATGACAGTGGTTCCTCTGATGCTGGACATCCTTGTGCTGGCCTTGCTGACCACTGTAGGATGCGACTCTTGGCCAGCTGAAATGCTTCTTTACCCTGTAGAGCGCCTCCAGCACGGCAGAGCAAGTTTGTGGGGACTCTTTCTGCAAACCATCTCCCATCCTCCCAAGCCAGCTGTGATACTATTGAATGCTCCATGATGGATATTGCAGGTCTTTGCCCACTTGCTTTATCAATCCATGTAAACTTTTGGCATCTGCAGCATCCTTTGGCGAGATGCTTCACGGAGTGACTCCTAGTGAAAAACACAAGAGCGCTCCATGGCCGTGGCACAGCGGTGGTTCTCTGCCTTTGTTCCTCTGCTGCTTTCTGCATAGGTCCCGTCCTAAGCCTTTCTCCTCTGAAGAAAGCAAGCAGAAATGAAAGTTTAATGAAAGTTATTTATGAGGAGAAGCTTGCATTCATTACAGTTACCTCGTGTATTATGAAGCCATGTTGGTTGCAGTAAGTAGTTCATTATTTAATTGTTTTTTTGCCCTGTATTTTCTTCCTAAATATGTTGTTTCTGCTTCTGCCTCATTCCAAGCAGCTTTCTGTAAAATTGTCTTTTGAGGAAATGCTCTTTACCTAATCAGGTTTTTCAGTTTGTTTGAGACAGTCTGTTTCCAGTAAATACTTTTTTCTCTTCTAAAAAAAAAGACTTGTAAATTTTATCGGATGATCAGATTATCAGATTAGGCAATTCTTTGCTTTTCTATCTTTAAGAAACTCTCTAAGCCTCTTTCTGTAGTGCAAATTCTTGCTTAACTTAATCCTGTTTAAACACATCTTTTTTTTTTTTTTTTAATTCTTTTTCCAGTTCTGCAGAAACAATTTGCCCAAAGCAAAAAAAATGCAGCTTCACTTGATATTTTGCCACAGGTGCAAAAGGGCTTTTCCCTGATTGCTTTGTCTCCTCTGTTGTGCCTACACATTTTCTTTCTCTTTTAAAACCCTGAAACAAAGCCGTGACCCAAATCCTCGGTGAAATGAAAATAAATCAGCTCCCAGCAGCGGGAGTCGTTGGCAGATGAGACATGTGGCATGTGGCTGGACCCAGGAGGTGTATATAGATAAATAAATAAACAACCCCCAAATTCTTCCCTGGGGGCAGCAGCTCTACAGAGGGGACTGGACACCCCAGGCACAGCCCCTCAGCCTGCAGTCAGGGATGCCCTGGCTTGCCCAGACACGTGGCATCTCCTGCCTCTGCTCCCGGTGGGGCGTGCTGGGCAGACACCCGGGGAGCTGGGAAACACGGTGCAGATCACAAATCACCAATGCACTAATTACCAGCCTACGATATGCGCCGACGCTGTTTTCCATCGGTGCTTTTACCCGGATGCTGCCCGGTAGTCGGGTGGTCCCGACTCAGCTAAATGGGGCCGTGGCCGCCCTGACCCAGCGCTGGACCACAGACCCCGGGACCTTTTCCCACCACCGCTGCTGTGATGGGCTGTGTGACACCCCCAAGGTTGGCACTCTGTTCCCCCTCAGCTGTCCAGTCTGGTTTGCTGTCCCTTGCTGGGACCACTGGGACGGCACCCAGGTCCTCAATGTCCATCAGCACTGCCATGAGCCATCACCACTCTGTGGGAGGAGAAGATCTCTTTTACTGTGTG